CGTTGGTGTAATCGCTACAAGTCTTAATCTACTGCGAGTGAGTGTTGTTTAATAAAAAAATACATACCTTCGCGTGCAAATGCTAAAAAATATACTAACCCAAAAATATTCTGTGTCTTTCAGATTTTTTTGATAGTGTCATCCGTTAGTCGAACATTTGACATTGAAGGACTGATTATACAGATTACAATCTTATCTTATCAGTACATGTACATGTTCATGGTTAACAATGTCGGTCAACAAGTCACAGATCACAATGATCATGTGTTCGCCAGCGTGTAAGAGACTTTTACTTGACTTTTACTCGCAAATTCGTGCGCGGACTATTCAAACGTTGATATTAACAGACCATACAAAAATATTTCAGCGTTTTTATTCCTCATATGACCTGTACTTTACACGTTTCTAACTCGTTCTATCATTTTTATATTCGTGCCTTGTTATCTCAGACATGCGCGGTCTGTTAAGTAAAAGAATATAAGTGAATATAAATACACGCGGATATACATGAATATTTTTGAACCGGGCTCTGAAAAACCCACATAAATGATTGACTTATATATGAACTGACTGAATAATAATTTAATATGAACTTTTCTAATTGGTGGTCCAGCGGAAAACTCCAGTCACCGGTCAATTTAAGTGGATGTGCGCTAATGGGACCCACCTATATTTTTAAGGACAGCGCTCGTCTTCAATACTTTGACTCCAGATAATGAATGACGGCACGTTAACATGTTTCTTTTTTACTCAGTTTCGTTTCAATACGGAAAGAAACGCGATATAAAAACGGAGGCATATTCATTTAGTCCAATCGCTTTCACTATTCAAACTAACAATTTTTGCGGGCTGAAAACGGAAATATTTTTGTATATATGTATATATATATATATATATATATATAGTAGCGAGAATAATGTGGAGTTTTTAAGACGATAATCTTCGTTAAGCGAAAAAGTCACATTCTGTTGAAGGCTTGTATCATTTTGCTATTGCTAATTCTATCATCATTTTGTAGGTACGAAATACAGTGGTACGTAACTCCCTTACAAATACAGAAGATGGTACTTTTCATGCTGCAAAGAGGCAGTAAGACCTATTATTTGCAGCTCGGTAGTCTTTTTGCAGTATCTTTGAAAGGTTTCACGTCGGTAAGAAAATATTACCCGCAGTGTCGTCGGAAAATAGTAAAATAAGTCTTTTATTTCAAAATGTTTCTCGTATTAAACAGATAATTCTAGTATCGATGGAATTTTTTATTAATAACTAAAAATTCTATCGATATATCTATCAAGTCTATGAAAGTAATTTCGCGAATATTCGTTGTGATCCTTTATAGAAATTTAATATTGAGTTACTTCAAATTAAATTTATTTTAAATTTAAAAAAATGTACAATAATTTTTCCTATTGTATAACAACCATTTATTCTTTTCGCATTTCGCGTTTCGTTGTCAGCGTTACTTTAATGCATGATCGAAGGGGAATTTTTGATACCAACTATGATATCTTAAAGAATTATGTTTATAATATATTATTATTTCGTTCAATAAACATTATAATGGACTTATATCGTTCAATAAATTTTATAATATTGGCAAATATTGGAAATATCGCAAGAACTATTAGTATGCAACGAAATATATAGTACATATTTGTAATCCAGTTATATGATTAATTTTTTATTTGAATTATAGATCATAGTGAATTTCAGAGCAATCGATAAGTTACTTTGTAAAACATAAATAATAAATCAATATTTATAATTATATAAAACGTTACTAAATTAATTAATTAAAAATATTCGTAACCATATAATTTAAGTATTCAAAATTACTAGCCACTAATATTAGAAATAATGCGCAGCAATTAATTAATTAATTTACCACTATTAAATTTCTATAAGAAGTGTCAAAAGTCGCCGAAATATCTTGTTTGCTCATTATATATGTGCGTATATGACTAATTTTATAACAGGAAAAAAATATCTTCAAACTGAAATTATTAATCTGAAAATTTTTGTCAAAATTTTGGAATTAATAGCCTCGTATGTTGTAAGAGCGAAATCATTATTGGAACGCGTTTCTTTGCAGCTGATGAGCGCTTCGATATCTTATTTCACCTTTATCTATTCGACGCGACAATGAAGCGGGGATCTACCAACGACGTAGTTTATTAATAAGAGAAATAAAATATTAAAATAATTAAAATTTATATCCAAAGATTTATTTATTATACCGGTTTTTAACTGTCAAATGTAAACATATTTGGTAAACTAAATGTTGACTTGTTTATTCCATTTTAAATTGTAACGAGTACGGGAATAAGGTAAAATATTATTCCGCTGTACTCACAGATGAGGCGACATGTTTATGATTTTCTTAACGCGATTTATACATCATATCCAAAGTTAATTAACATTTTCTAAACTCTAACTTTGATGATATATAGCCATATAACAGCAGTGTAGGTCATTTATCACTTTTATAATATTTTCAAATTTGTGTTTCTTACAGCAGAGAATTCGATCAAATTTGACCTATTTTGCATGTCTCCTTATTAATCATTATATTAACATTAGAGTTCGATTATTTAATGAGGTACAAAACATAACCGAATTTATAAAGATTAAAATTAATTTTAGGTTGTTTGTTTCAGATCAATAGAAAAAGTACAAACTTTAGGGCAATGCGAACAGAATCGTCTCAACAGCTTATATTTAATCAATTATATTTTCTTTTATTATATGCATAAAACATAATAAACCTAAATTATTTTAAAGATAAAAGATGTATAAAACTTAAATATTATAAGTGCATTCATTTTATACAAAAAAATTTTTGGAAATAGCCTTGAGATCAGCCGTTTAAAGTAGAGACACTCCCTGAAAATTATTATCAACTTTTTGGAATGAATAGTCTCATATTTTAAACGTGCATTCATTAAGGGAATGAATATCTCATTGCAGCCGCTGATCGCCACGATATCTTATTTCACCGTTATTTATTCAACGCAACCCTAATAGAGATATACAGTATCAATGTAATCTCTCAGCAACGTATCTAAATAGAAATTTGCTAAAAGAATTAAATCTACGCTATTTTTCATTACTATTCCTAGGTATGGAATATAACCGAGGTGGCCGTGGTTGGCTTATTTATCTCATTACAAGAAATTGCTATGTCAACGAAAAGATATCCTGATATGCCGCGAATTATTTTATTTTATATGTTTTAAAAAGATGCAGGAACATAAATTTTCAGATACATAAATTTTCTGAAGACTTACTGCTGTAACGTGAGGTGATATATCAACATCGAGAGCCAAACACGATGAATAGAGTTCAGAGATGAAACGTAACGTACGAGTATAAGCGCTCGTGTTAGAATGAAACACATTAAACTACGAAGAACAGAAATATGTTTGCGTGTGGGACAGGATATTTCGTGAGAGCCCTTATGTCATAGCAAGGAAATATCTGGAAAAATATTTTCCTCCGGAAAATCGCTTAATCGCAGATATAGCATCAAAAACAATGGCGAAATAAACATTGCGTTTTCACGGTGTTATTTCGCGGTCATTTTGTTCTCATTTCGCGTTATTTAAAACATTGGCTACATTATGCTAGAATGTACGCTCAATAAGAGGTAAGTTATAAGATAATCATCCTACTCACACAAGGGGGTGGAGGCAAGCAAACCTTCCTCGATGTATTCGGCGTCAAGCGGGTCTCGATGCTCGTGCAGGGATGATTTACACGCAGTACGTTCAAACGCATCTCAGTCTGAATCGTATTCTCCTGCTTATACTCGGCTTGTGGCCCTATCAGCAATCGAAACTTGTTTCATTGCAGTTCGGTCTGCTTTTTGGCATTCTGACGACTTTTATTCTATCTCAAGTATGTTGATTGTTTTGTACTACAGTTATTACACGTTAATTTGCTTTGCAGTCAAATCCATAGAAACTTTTATTAGGATTCACGTTAAAATAATAACATTTTTAATTTCTCGATTCTTCTTCTTAGATAAAAAGCTTTTTGTTCCGGGGTAAGTTTAGATCTAATTATATAAGGATTTTAACCTGATCTAATCATATATATAAAACAGATAAATTTTTCTTGATTATGTCTGATTAGATCGCATATAATTATAACATGGGAATAAAACGCAAATGAACAAAAAAAATAACAATAAAAAAGTAATAAAAAATAAAAAAAAACAAATAACAATATTAGATATAAACTGATATGGAGTTATATATATCTTGATAAAATCACATATAAATAAGATCAATAGATCTTGCATATACCATAGTTATATGTAATTTAATACAATTATATATAATTAGATATCAAATTTTTCCCGGGTCCCTAACTTTTTATATAAAATATAAAATATATGTTATATAATTATATATATTATATATATTATATAAAATATAAAATAGGAAACAAAATTTATAGCACAAACACACGCGCGCGCGCGTGCGTCCTCGCATGCACGCATGCACGCACGCACGCACGTATGCACAAGAATTATAAGACATAAGTTGTTACGTGCATAGATTGGCGTGATTTTTACTTCAAAATGTACGATGGACCTAGTTCTAAAAATTCTCTTCACTGTATTTTTTTTAACTACCTGCGTGATAAATTACGCTTCGTTTTACGTCAACAACGAAGGAGTGAGTTAATGATAATTAAATACTTTGTATTCGAAAAGACAAATAATTTTTGAAGTTTTATAAATGTTTTTCTTCTTTAATTTTTATAGTTTTTCATTTTAAAAATTTTTTAGTTTTTCATTTTTATATTTTATAAATGTTTTTCTTTTTTAAACGCTTTGTAAACGACAATGTGTTTAAAAAGAGTCAAAAGCTCAAACATTAGTGCTAAAAATTAAGATATGGAGTAACAGATTTAAGAATTAAGATTAAAACAACAGGTGAAATCCCTGATCGAACAAATTCAGCGTAACTATGACGAATTAAAAGACGAGAACGAAATTGCTATCATGGATGAATACGGAAGCAAGACAAAATGTTATACTGTTATATTAACAGGTGAGGTAACAAGTTATGGTTTCTCTAAGACGTGATTCATACGTTAGATTTAAACTCAACAAATGTATTATTAACAATTTAAAACTAATGAAGTTCAAGTTTTATTTCTCATATTTATTTTCAAATCTTATATTGTGTTTGTAACATATATATCGAATTTTCGCAAAGCGTTCCGCATTATTTTCCCTTTCTTTACAGTTTTTATAGCATGTGGTATATCTGTTACTTTTCTATTGCAATTTTGGCAACGTATTCTCGGTATAATTCTGTCCTCAAACAAGACTCGACCGATTAACATGCTACAATTTATGAGTGAATACTGCGCCGATAAAGAGAAATATTTCTACTTAATTCTGCTGCACGCAAACGCGGCCCTTTACATATGCTGCTTCACGATGCTCAGCACTGGGACAATACTGTTATCATATGGTCAATATATTTGTGGGATGTTTAGAATTGCAAGGTAAAATACGAACTATTTATTTGTGAACAAAAATGGGTACAATATGCAGAGAAAAAGATTTCTTTAGATTTAGTATTCCTATTTAATTCACTAAAATTTATTTCATAGAAGCAGCATATACTTATACGAAATAATATTTGTTGGAGTAAAAATGTTATCGTCTCATTCAAGAAAACTCTATTATCTAACAGAAAGAACGCTATTGTTTGAAATATCTTTTAACAAAATAAAACATTATTTGGTTATAATAAATATGTAAAATGCAACAAAATTATTTCTTTGTAAGAAAATTATATTTAGTTTATTACACATTTTTTATTTAAGATAAATTTAGATATTCGTGGAAAATTAATCGAAACATTAGTTTCTTTGGAGCATGCCAATAATCATATTTATTTGGATGCAATACAATTTATTAAATTTGAAGAAATCTTTTCCTTAGTATAGTTATAATAGACAATGTTCGCGAGAACTTCGGTACGTGAATTAGTACTCATTCAAAAATGCAGCAGAAAAATATATAAGTATGCGCTATATATATTAACATATATATCTCACGGAAAAGATAATTTAATTGTTACGATATGACGTTTTATTACTTAATTTGACTGATATTCGACCATCAACGAGGTAGTTTGTATAGCCTATTTTGCGACATTTAACACCGGATGATGTTGTTAGCATACGATCAACCTATTCACGAAATATTCAGGATTCAGGTGATGGATAAGCTTCGCATTTGTGAAGGAAAATTTAAAATCACGTCTGCCATTTACAAAAATCCAGCGGCCGTGTAAAGTCTTATACGGCTAAAAATATTGGAGAAGAGTATAAAATATATGCTATATATGCGGACTTATATTGCATACGTTGCAATTTAGTTCGAATATTGTACACAAAACTTTACTTCCACCATTTAATAAATAGTTAACTAGTGCCGCTACTAATAAGCAGTCGTATCTCACATAAGTGCGTTAATTCAAGATATCATCATCGAAATTGTTTCTCAAATTGTTTACAGTTATCGCATCCGGCACGTGATGAAGCTGAACGTGATGCGACCAACGAATCCGCGGAACAAAAACTCGCCCTACGAAGGATTAATTTACGCAGTAGATATTCATCGCAAAACTTTACAGTTGGTATTAATCCAATTATATGCTAAAACGTGTGCAATGAGAAAAAGAGAGAGAGAGAGAGAGAGAGAGAGAGAGAGAGAGAGAGAGAGAGGAAGTGGGAGGAAAAGAATGAGAGAGAAAGATGTACGCTTTTACCTTTTGAAGGTTTGCCGAATGTCTAATGTCCATATTCTCGTTATCGTTCTTCTTACTGATAGGCGCTGGTGTAATCTCTACGAGTCTTAATCTACTACGAGTGAGCGTTGTTTAACAAAAAAATACATACCATTGCATGTAAATGTTAAAAAGTATATTAATGCAAAAATATACGGTGTCTTTCAGATCTTTTTGATATTGTCATCCATTAGTCAAACATTTGACATTGAAGAACTGGTCATACAAATTATATTCTTATTTTGTCAGTACCTGTACATGTTCATGGGTAACAATGTCGCTCAACAAGTCACAGATCACAATGATCATGTGTTCGCCAGCGTGTAAGAGACTTTTACTTGATTTTTACTCGCAAATTCGTGCGCGGACTATTAAAACGTTGATATTAACAGTTCATACAAAAATATTTCACCGTTTTTACTCCTCATATGTTTTACACGTGTTTTACACGTTTCTAACTGGTTCTATCATTTTTATATTCGTGTCTTGTTATCTCAGGCATGCGCGGTTTGTTAAGTGAGAGAATATAAGTGATTATGAATTCACGCGAATATACATGAATATTTTTGAAGCGGGCTCCGAAAAACCCACATAAATGATTGACTTATATATAAAGTGACTGAATAATAATTTAATATAAACTTTTCTAATTGGTGGTCCAGCGGAAAGACTCAAGTCGCCGGTCGATGTGAGTGGATGTGCACTAACGGGAACCACCCATATTTTTAAGTACAGCGCTCGTCTACAATACTTTGACTCCAGATAATGAATGACGTCACGTTAATATGTTTCTTTTTTTCTCAGTTTCGTTTCAATACGGAAAGAAACACGACATAAAAACGAGGGCATATTCATTTAGTCCAATCGCTTTCACTACTCAAACTAATAGTTTTCGCGGGCTAAAAACGGAATATTTTTGTAAATATATATATAGAAGCAAGAATAAAGCGGAATTTTAAAGATCATAATCTTCGTTTAACGAAAAAGTTACATTCTGAGGAAGGCTTGTATTATTCTGCTATTGCTAATTCTACAATTCTATCATTACTTTGTAGGTACAAAATACGGTGGTATGTAACTCCCTTACAAATGCAGAAGATGATACTATTCATGCTGCAAAGGGGCAATAAGGCGTATTATTTGCAGCTCGGTAGTCTTTTTGCAGGATCCTTGAAAGGTTTCACGTCGGTAAGAAAAGATTACGCACAGTGTCGTCGGAAAATAGTGAAAAAAGTCTTTTGTTTCAAAATGTTACTGCAATATCATGAGTATTCGTTGTGATCTTTTATGGAAATTTAATATTGAGAGCTACTTTAATTGAAATTTATTTTAAATTAAAAAAATTTACAGTAAATTTTCCGATTCTATAACGACCACTTAGTCTTTTCGCACAGCGTTTCGTGGTCAGCGTTGTTTTACCTTAATGATCGAACGGGAATTTCTGATACCCACTATAATATCTTGTGGATGTTTATAATATATAATTATATCGTTCAGTAAACATTTTAATGGACTTATATTGTTTAATAAACATTATAATGCTGGCAAATATTGGAAACAGCACAAGAACTATCGGTATGCAACGAAATATATAATACATATTTGTAAACGAAATATATATTACAATGTAATATATATTATATATTTGTAAACCAGTTACATGATTAATTTTGGATTTGAATTATAGATTATAGTGAATTTTAGAGCAATCGATAAGTTACTTTGTAAAACACAAATTATAAAACAATTTATATCAGACATAAGAAAATTTAATTATTTTTTTGGTTATCAAAAATTTGTAATTATTTTTGCAAAAATGCAGATGTTACTTCCAGAATATGTTTATAATATTTAAAAAGTAAATAGAACATCGCAGATAAGTTCGCAACGTATTCTAAAAATGTATGAAAAATGGTAATATTTTACGATGTAAGAAATATTATAGAATCACAAATTATAGTAATAATTATTATTATTAAATATTAATCATTAATGTGAAACATTATCAAATTAATTTAAAGTATTAGTGACTGTAATTTAAGTATTCAGAATTACTAGCCACTAATATTAGAAATATTGCGCAGCAATTAATTAATTAACTAATTTACCAGTATTAAATTTCTATTAGAGGTGTCAAAAGTCATTGAAACATCCTGTTTGCTTATTATATGTGTGAGTGTACGACTTATTTTATGATGAAAAAAAATTCTCTTTAAATTGGAATTATTAATCTGAAAATTGTAGTAAAAATTTTGGAATAAATACTCTCGTATGTTGTAAGAGCGAAATCATTAAGGAAACGCGTCTTTTTGCAGCTGATGAGCGCTTCGATATCTTATTTCACCTTTATCTATTCGACGCGACGATGAAGCGGTGATCTACCAACGAAGCAGTCCATTAATTAGAGAAATAAAATATTAAAATAATTAAAATTAAGATAGTTAAATTCAAAGATTTATTTACTATACCTTGATTTTTAATTATCGGATGTAAACTTACTTAGAGATTTTGCTGCCTTGTTTATTCCACTCTAGATTATAACATCCATTTGCTGCGTCGCACGATATACAGTAAATCATATTCTTCGGCAAGACAAGGAAATATACAGGTACATAAACTTTCTAAGTATTATCGCGACAGATGACTGCATGTTTCTGCAGATGTATCAGCATCAAAGGCTGAGTTTGAATGAAACGTAACGTACAAGTGTTCGTGTTAGAATGAAACACGTGAAATAGTGAAGAAATAGTGAAGAAATATAAGTACGCTTGCGCGGTCCTCGCGGGATAAGATCTCCCGTAAAAGTCATTATTTTATGAGACGATAACACCTGAAAGAATTTGTCTCTCTGAGAAATTGATCGTTGAATTGCGTGCTACTTCCCGATAATATTTGTGAAATACAGTTGTCGAATTCTCACGGTGGCATTTTACACGAATCATTATCGTATTTACACTAACTCGACTAATTTCTATTCAATTTGATACTAAAGTGGGCAAATTACCTAATCGATCGTTGGAAGATAGGAAGGGACGAACACATCCTATCGAATCTTCCGCGGTCAAATGCATATCAAACGTCGAATAAAGATGATCAGTATCGAGGTTCAGTATTTTAGTATCAGTAAAAATCTTCTACTAGCTACTGGCCTGTGGCCTTATCGGCAAACGAGAATTGCTCAACTTCAATACATATTATTCTTCACTATATTGTTGGTCGCCGTCATGTGTCACGTATGGCATAATGTTGAAGTAGTATCACTGCATAATAAGTTGTTATATTGCGGTTAACTGCGAGTTTCTTCATTTTTGTGCATTTTAAATATAAGAATTAACGCAACGTTCGTTATTAATATATTACGACTTTTTATATCGCAATTATGTGTCCAGCTTTGTTTAAATGTTAACTAAATTAAATAATAACTGTATACAAAATGCGATGTATTTTACATAATTCGTAATTTATTAATCGCAAATGCTCTCTAGCTCAATCTTTTCGAAAAAAACATTTGTTGATTGTAGTTTACAACGTTTATCACTATAGAATGTACTCCAGACATTATCGTCAAAGTGCTCTCTTCCATGTCCATTTTTATGGATTCCGTGATTCAATACTCCTCCTTTCGGATGAACATGATAACCGTAAGTTAATTAGTTGATTTTTTATCATGCTTGCTCATGTAAATAACTATATTAAAAATAACGTTTTATATATAATAATTTTCTATAAAATAAGTTGTTGAAATTACAGATCAAGATTTTACTGGAAGATCTTCAACACATATACAACAAGATGAAGGACAAGAACGAAATTGCTATCATAAAAAAATATGGAAATATTTCAAGATGTTATGCGATTTGGCTCACAAGTAAAATGAAATTATTCGATATCTATTATCAATTATCATTAATTAATTATTATTAATTAATGACCATTATTGTTATAATAATATTAGTATAATGTACAAGGTGTATAAAAAAAGTCAAATCCGTGGAACATCTTATAAAATATATATAAGTTTTTTACTTGCAATTAATTAAATAATTTTCAAGTAATTGTTAACATAGTTAGAAGAACGAGTTATATACCGCATAGCAAAATTATAGTCATTAAATATCAGCGTTGTTTTATTTTTAGTATCTGTCGTTTGTGTCCAATTCGGTCTTATTTTGATCCAGTTATCGTCAATTTTTTTCGACTTTGTTCAACCGAAAAACGAATCCGCGCGACCTACTTTGCTATTCCCAATGGAATACTTTGTGGATCCTCAGAGATATTTCTACTTAATAATGCTGCATATGAACACGGCAGTTTGTATAGGCATTACCGTATTAGCGGCAACGGGAACATTATTCATCGCGTGTCAAAAGTTCATCTGCGGACTGTTCGTTATCGCCAGGTAAAAAAGTAAGTACAGACTAAGTACAGAGGCGATTCTCATAGACGAGATACTTAAATTGACGATATTTCTCTAACGATGTATAAAAAATTTGTATTTCAACTTGTTATTTCAGACCAAGCTGGAATTGTAGCTTCTCCTTCCGCAAGGATAAAGCTGATTCAAGTTGGGTTTTCTTTCGTAAGGACGAAGAAGCACGCCGTTTGACAGATAATTATATAATAACGACGAAGTACTTGCAGTTACCGTGTCGAACGCGCGATAAGAATCAACGCGTCACAAATGGTCAACCCGAATAGCAGATATCTGACCTTTACGGAGATTTTCAGAGCTGTAGACATTCATCGGAGAGCTATGAAGTTGGTATTTAACTAATGGTATTGGGAGTACAAATTAGTTCGGTCCGTTTTCAAAAGATGGCTCTGGTTATATTTGTTAGTTATATTTGTTGAGTTATATTTGTGGACAGAAATATATCGAGGAAACTTGGCCAAAATTGCGACGAGAAGGAGTGCAAATATAACGCATATGACAAACACTGGAAGAAATGAGAAAGAAAGATGCACATTTTCTCCAAAAAATGCAATTCTATCGTTATTCATGAAATGTTGGTCAATAATAATTGCGGGATTTGGAATTTGAGATTTGTTAATTAACTTCGGATGTATAAATCGTGTTATATATTGGGAGTACAAATTAGTTCGGTCCGTTATAAAAAGATGGCTCTGTTATGAATGTTTCATAGTGACAGCTGATTTCAGTGGTTTCAAAGAGGTTAGACAGCTGTCAATAATATTCAGTTTATATCGCTTTGAGTTTCATACCTCTGTTTTTTACTGTGTTGAATATGTCAAATTTTGTGTTAACTAAGCAGCATTTGCGGGAGGTTTTAGTTTTCTGCTTTAATTGGAAGAAAAGTGCAGCTGAAGCGCATCGAATGCTTGTAGAAGTTTATGGTGACAATGCTCCAACTGATAAATCATGTAGGGAATGGTTTCGACGTTTCAAGAATGGTGATTTCAGCGTTGAAGACAAGCCTCGCTCTGGACAGCCAAAAAAATTCGAAGACAAAGACAAAGAATTGGAGGTATTACTCGATTGGCTCTTAATTTGGATCGCCTCAAAAGACAAGACATTTTTTCGAAATGGAATTCGAAAATTGCCTGAGAGGTGCGAAAAAATAGTAGCCAGCGATGGACAATACTTTGGTTAATCTGTTCATTCATTTTATTCGGAAATAAATGCATTTTTGAAAACGGACCGAACTAATTTGTACTCCCAATACATTTACGATATGTAATAGTGAACAATTTTTATGCTTTGAAGGTTTTCCCGATTTCTAGTAAATAAATTTGAGATGATGTTAGGAGCATTAATGTTGGTCGGAGTAAGCAGTTTGAGTTTCAATCTTTTTTGCGTGAGTTTCGCCTATTGATCTTCAATATTTCCTTATGTAATTCTAGACAATAACGTTCCGCATTAAGAATCGCATTCGAAAATTGTGTGATCTATCAGAAACGTAGAACCGCAGTAGATCGAGAACGCAAAATATGCAGACAGTTTCTAACAAAGATATTCATATTACAGATCTTTATGATCATGTCCTCCGAATATCGCAATGTCAAAGAATTATTGTTGCCCATTGTATGCACAGCTATAACAGCTACGTACTTGTTCTTAGCTAACTACATTGCGCAGGATATTACGGACCACCACAGAAGGATATTTGTTTCCGCGTAAGGAACATTTCCATAAGAATGACTGACATTTATTAAACTGACATTCGTAAGATAGTAAAATATGAAAGAAAAAAATATATAAAAAATAAAAAAATATTTATTCAGTACTAATAATATGTTTGTTCTTAAAACTAAATTCGTTTATTTAAATAGGATGAATAATTGCTTTCATGAGAAGTTATAAATCTAAGGAAATATATATCTTCTCCTTTGGAAAAGATTTTTCCTCAGTACAAAGTCTAAATATTGGTATAAGTAAACATATGATTAGTACCCATTGGATAAATGTTTTATTTTTTAGATATTTTTTTCTCTCACAATATAATTACTTCAAAAATACTCGCATTGAAAGCAAGAATTAACACAATTCTTGAAAGTCAAGCGTCGATAATTATTATTACTTACCTTTCCGTGTCCTCCCTCATTTTTCTCGTGTTATCGATTTGCTTGGTCTACTTAATAATTCGCAGATACAATGTTAACTGGTACAAAGCACCAATGCACGTGCAGAAGCTGATACTGTTCCTGCTGCAACAGGGTACCAAAGATTTTACGTTGAAAATTGGTGGACTGATCAACGGATCATTACAGTGTTTTGCCTCGGTAAGAAATTTTACCGTCTGTCAGAGATACGCTCGTCGATGCTTCCATACGCCGATTGTCACACTTTCGTCTGAACAATATCTATTTTATAGTTGACGAACACGTCGCTATCGTACTTCACCGTCCTGTACTCCACGCAAAGATAAAGTTGACAATTGCCGGTTTAAAATCAGAGAACATCGAACAAGGCAACGGTGCACCTCACGATCACTTGAACGTGCAATGGCCCGCCCATTTACCGATCTGTTCTGATCATAGCGAAATTTTTCTAGAAGACATAAAGTATCCCCCAAAAATGCAAATGTATCATCACATCCTTTCCCAATATATCCATATTCACTGACATTCTGACACGTTACAACAGCGAAAAACTGAAAGTCAAGACGAGACTTTCTTCCGAATATCAAACGTATCGTATGAGCGTACATGCCGGAATGAAGCACAGATAAAGCACAGAAGAGTGAAATACGGCTGCGCGGTCTTCGCGCAACAGGTTCTCCAAGGGGTGTTTCTCATAAGAAGAAAACATCTGGGAAAAACTCTCCCTTTGGAAAATCGATCGAACAATAGAATGTGCTTCTTTCAGCTAATGATAGTGAAAGCTCGCGGCTGTCGAGCTCTCACGGTGGCATTTTACATTCATCATACTTACGTTGACTTCGGCAATTTTCATTCATCAATTTAATACTGTAAAGTGAACTAAGTGCCTGATGGATCGACGGAAAGTAGGAAGGGATGCGCATACCCTATCGAACCCGCCGCGGTCAAACGTATGTCAGAGTTCACGTAGAGATGATCAGCATAGAGGTCCAGTACTTTAGTGTCAGTAAGAATCTCTTGCTAGCTATCGGTTTGTGGCCCTACCAGCAAACGAGACTCGCTCAACTTCAATACATCATCTTCTTGAATATCTTGTTGGCCGCCATCGTGTGTCACGTACGCTCAATATTAACGGAGTATCACTACGTAATAAGTCGTTACTTCTCACGGCAAGCTTCTTCTTTAATTATTGTTACTCGTTAATTTATATGTAATTATTATTATGTTATACTGCCATACATCATCGTTTTTGGGTCGCAATGAAATACGTACGGTTCTATTTAAATTTTATTTGTCAAGCAATTATCGTATGTAGGATGCGATGCATTTTATACGATTCATAATTCATTCAAATCGCAGAGATGTTCTTTACCTCGATATCTTCGATAAAACATTTCGATTGTAGTTTGCAACGTTCATCACTGCGCAATGCACACTGCACCTTGTTGTCAAAGTGCTCTCCTCCCTGTTCATCTTTATCGACGCCGCGGTTAAGTATATCACGTTCCGGATGAATAGCCTAACCGTGAGTTCAATCTTCGCTGTGCTTACCCGTGTAAATGACTTTGTTAACTGTGTGATATTTCATATTTAATAATCATATTTAATCTTCGATATAAGGAGTTGTTTAAATTATAGATCAAGATTGTGTTAGAAGAACTTCAGTGCATATGCGGTGAGATAGAGGATAAAAATGAACAGAATATTATAAAGAAATACGGGATTGTTTCAAAACGTTACGCGATTTGGCTCACTAGTAAGACGAATTCACGCAATGTCCGTTACGGATTAACAATTAATTACGATAACTACCACATCTAATTAGTTAATACGTGACCGTCAAATACATAGAAAGACATACAAATTATTTATCACAGAGAAAATGCGACGATGAAACATCGACATTGTTTCATTTTTAGTTATAGCTATTTGTGGCGAACTCTGCCTTATTTTGGTCCAATTATGGTCGAATATTCTCGACTTTATTCAACCAAGAAACGAATCCAGACCACATACCTTATTGTTCCCAATGGAGTACTTCATAGATCCTCAGAAATATTTCTACTTAATAATGTTGCACGTAGATGTAGTCGGTTTCATAAGCATTGCTATACTGCTGGCGACAGGCACGATATTCATCGCATGTCAAAAGTGCATCTGTGGAATATTCATGGTCGCCAGGTAAGAAAGTAAGTACAGATACGACAATCATAAACGAGGTTTTTAAATTGAGAATGTTTTTCAAACGAAGTAAATGAGATTTTTATTTGAATTTGCTATTTCGGTCGAAAATCAGACTAATAGAGCGGCTTCTCCTCTCGCAACGGCGAAGAAACACGCCATGTAACAAATTTCTATATAATAACTATAAATTCCTTGCAGTTATCGTATCGAACACTCGATGAAATTCAGCGTGCTTCAGAAAGTCAATTCGAGCAGCAGAAATCTGACGTTTGTGAGGATTATCAGGGCCGTGGAGATTCATCGGAAAGCAATGAAGTTGGTATTAAGCTATTAACGCGCATGTGATATGTAGTAATGAAAAATTCGTTCGTCTTCGAAGGTTCTCCCGATTTCTGGTGTCTAAATTTGAGGTGATGTTAGCTATGTTGATAGTAGCCGGGATTAGCAGTCTAAGCTTCAATCTTTTCCGTGTAAGTTCTTGACATTCTTCCCCGAGTGTTTGTCTTCACGTAGTTCGTAATGAGATTGATTAGCTTTGAATCTTACATTTGAGTGTCGCCACAAATTCCGCAAGAGCGGAAGGTGTAACACACGAGTATAACGTTCTAACAACACGAGTAAATCGTTCTAACGACGAAACTTCTTAGATCTTTCTGATTGTGACGTCTAGTAACGCCATCGAGGAATTGTTGCTACCTATTGGACTGGCAATTGCGATCACTTTATACATGTTCTTTGCTAACTATATCGGGCAGAATGTTACGGATCATAACAGACAGATCTTCGCTTCCGTGTAAGAGACATATTTGCACTGAAAAAAATTGCTACATTTAAATAAATATTTGTTATAAAGAACTTTGTATATAAGCTAGCAATCAACTTCGACGTTAAATTAATAACTCGCAGATACAACATTCGCTGGTACGAAGCATCATTGAACGTGCAGAGGCTGATACTGTTCCTACTGCAACGGAGTATCAAAGATTTCACGCTGAACATCGGTAGTCTAGTTACCGCATCCTTAGAATGCTTCGCCACGGTAAGAAAATTTGCCGCGCGTTAGGGGGCATTCGTATTCGTATTTTTATAACGAACGTAAAGAAAACATACCTGTTCCACAGCTGACAAACATGTCAATCTCGTACTTCACCGTCCTGTATGCTACGCAATGACAAGGCGGAAAATTATTAGCTAAATATCTCGCGATAAACACAATGCATTTCACACATTTTTCAACATATTGACGTAGCCCGTTTGTTTTCAAATCTGTAATGACCGTAGCAGTGCTTTTTTTAGAAGACATAAAACATCTCCCGAATGTACCAAAATAACATTTCAACAACCTTTCCTAATACTTACTGGCCTGTCGACAAACGACACATTAGCAACAAAAATCGAGCGAAGAGAGCTGTCGTTCGGAAATCGAACGTAACGTACGAGCGCACAGACTGAAATATAAATAATACCGGAAGTAGCGTCACCGAATAGCGGCTAATACGCTTGCGCGGCCTTGGCGCAACAGGTTTCCTCAGGGGTGTTTTTTTCTCTTGCGGGAAAATGCTATCTAGGAGAATTTCTCCCTCTGGAAAATCGATCGACTAATCGTACGCCTCTTTCAAACCATATGGGTGAAACGCGACTGTCGAGTTCTCACGACAGTACTTAGCTCTCCCTCGTCGTATTTACATTGACTTAAGCAATTTTTGTTCAATTTTACGCTACACAGGAGGGCAACGCGGATAATGGAATGATGGAAGTAAGAAGGGGTGCGCGAACCCCCATCGTCTTCCTTGCACGGTTCAAACGCTCCTCGAAAGCAGTGTAGAGATGATCGACATAGAAGCTCTGTACTTCAGTCTTAACAAAAATCTTCTGCGAGCTGTTGGTCTGTGGCCCTATCAGCAAACGAGACTCATTCAACTTCAATATACTTTCTTATTCGGTATAATAACGGCCGTCATCGTGTTTCATGTACGACGCACTGTTGAAGCAATATTATTGCGTGATAAATTATCGCGTTAAGATTAAGTCTTACTTTTACTTTCCCGAATTTTAAAAATATAAGTATTTTCATTCATTATTGTTATATTAAGATTGTTACTCTGCGATTATAAGTAGCTAAAGTTATTAAACTATTGTTTTATTAAAGAGTTATTAATAAATCAAGATTTATAATTTTTCGTATGAAAATAGGGACCTTTTAACGCGTCGACATTTTCGACGGAATTGTTGCTTGCAGTTTACTACATTTATAACCGCAGAATGTACTTCAAAACTAATCGTCAAAGTTCTCGCTTCCATGTTCGTATTTATAAACCTCGCGATCAAATACAGTGCGTTCTGGATGAATAGCGTAACTGTGAGTTGATTTTTTACCGTACTCGTCTATATAAATAACTTTGGTGAATTTGTTTTTATACGTAAAAATATTCAGTATAAGAAGTTGTTGAAATCACAGATCAAGACTTTATTGGAGCAACTTCAACGCATATGCAGCGAGTTGAAGGACAAGAACGAGCTTGCTATTATAGAAAAGCACGGGAATATCTCAAGATGCTACGTCGTTTGGCTCACAGGTAAAAACTCATGAAATAGCGAGACTATCGTCACAACTCAAATGCATTTCGGATAAATTTATCTAATAAATAAATATTTGAACGTTTCCATATGGAAATAAACTACAAAAATACTGGTATACTATTGGAAAACATCTTTGAAGAACAATAGTATACCAGTAATTTTTCGTATTCATAATTTATTTCCGTACGAAAATGCTCTTCAGATTTTTATCCATTAGATGAATTTTTCCGAAAGTGGAACAACTGGCTTTAAATGGTACTTCCGTCACTTTTGAGAATATATTATAAATTAATTAAAATTTTATCGTAAATTTAAAAAAACCTAATACAATAAAAATACCAAATGTTGAAACTTTCGAACAAAATAAATGTTACGTATTTGACACGTGTATTATTATAATTTATTAATTTATTTTCATGACGAGGTTACTTTTGTCACTAATTGGAACACTCACCTATCGCCAAATAAAAAAAAAATAATCGTTTAGAGAGTCAATATTTGTGCATTTTTAGCATGTATCGTTTGTGGCGAATTCATCTTCATTTTGATTCAATCTTGGTCGAGTATTCTTGATATTGTTCAACCGCGAAACGAATCCAGGCCGCGTATCATGTTGTTCCCAATGGAATATTTTGTGGATCAGCGAAGATACTTCTATTTAATTCTACTGCACATAAATGCGGCAGTTTGCATAGCTTGTATCACAATACTAGGGACATTAACGACGCTCATCTCGTGCCAAGAGTGCATCTGTGGGATGTTTGCGATCGCTAGGTAGGAAAACAAGCATGATGAAATAACTGCTATTAATGTGTAAGATATTTTTAGTTTTTTTATTGAAATTTGTTCTTAATAAATTAAATCAAATTTTCACTTTAGCTCGTCACTCAAACAAATAAATTAAATAAAAATAGATAAAAACTATATATTTGCAGTTACCGTATTGAACGTGCAATGAGGATCGACACGATGCGGGATGTCAACTTGAGTGGCAAAAATTTAATTTACGATAGGATAATCAAAGCTGTGGAGATTCATCGCAAAGCTATGAAGTTGGTATTTAGCCGATGACGCATATACAACGTGTTATGGGTGTATTGTATAGTGAAAAATTGTCTTGTACTTGAAGGCTTTCTAAATTCCTTATGTCGAAATTTGAGGTGCCGTTTGGCCTGTTAATAATGGCCGGAGTGGTTAGTTTGAGCCTCAATCTCTTTCGTGTAAGTTCATCCGCTTATGTTTTCGAGTGCACATCTCAGCATAATTTCACACGATTTTCTCCGTTTTTACTTTGAGACACGAGAACGCTTCATCTCATACGCGTAAAACTACAATAGATCAATATAATAGAATTGTGAAAATATGTGAAAATACGCTCGTGAAGTCGGTAGATTCCAGTGTATTTTTAACGTGAAATTCACGCGTGTCAGATCTTTCAGATCTTGTCGTCCGAATTTAATATCGAAGAACTGTCTTTACCCACTGCGTTCGCGCTTATGATTACTCTATACATGTTCTTGGCCAACTACGTCGGACAAAATCTTACGGACCACAACAGCCAGATATTCGCCACTGTGTAAGACACATGTTTTTGAGGCACCGATATTCGTAAGCGACGTAATAGTCACTTTAAAGATACTTGCTCGTCAAGCTCGAAAATTAACAGTATAAAACTCATAAGTTCCGAAAGTGACTTGGCCCATCGTTCTCTCACCTTTCTCGAATTATCTCTATTCGCTGTCTAATCAATGATTCACAGGTATAGCATTCAATGGTACAAAGCACCTTTGCACGTGCAGAAGCTGATATTGTTTCTTTTGCAAAAAGGAACCAAGGATTTCACCTTGAATGTGGGTAGCCTTCTCAACGGGTCCATGAAATCCTTCGCCACGGTGAGAGAATTGAATAGTGCGTCCGAGCGGGGTAGATAGATGATTATGCAACTTTTTTCTAAGAGTCGAAAAGAATAAAATATTTTACATGCACCCGACGACTTTAACCCGATCACATGTAACCTTTCGAACGATAGGAACGTAAAAGTTTTTACTTTTCACGTTTCCACTCTTATGGAAAAATTAGACGCGCACGTCTCAAACGGGATGAAATAATTCAGAATGGAATTTCTTTTACAGCTGACGAACACGTCAATTTCCTACTTCACTGTCTTGTATTCTACGCAAAGATAAGATTATACAGCGGGAGTATCACACGGTGCAGTTAATAATAAAGCAACGGTATATTCCTTATGTAACGTAAAAGAGTACACCGCAGCGTAACTTGTGCTATTATCAAAGATAAAATATCTTTAGAATATCTTTTAAATATAACGACGGGATAATACGAGATGTAATCCCATCGATATGTACCAGTGTTTTCCGCAACATACGCGCAACATGCAGCGCGATCAAAAAAGGCAGATTACGATACGTGGGATTGAATAGAAAATGAGGAACATACCTTGCACAAAAACATTAACTTCTTTTCGGTTGCAACGTGCATCGTGGGATATTGTATACATTCGTACACATTAACGTAGCAATGTATACGATGAACGAGGGACGTCAGAGACGTTCAGAATGAACAGACGTGTCCTTTCATGAATCGAATACGTATGTATCTGCGTTGAAGTGCTCGCGGCTCTAAGAAACAATGAATGATCCCGTATGACGTTATTATCAAATGTTACAGCCACAATAATTTTCTTTTTTATGTGGGAAAGAATCATCCACTGTATTTCTTTCTATGCGAAATTGCGCTATCGACTATGATGTTCATTTAGGCATAGGAACTCTACTGAGGGAGAATATTGTTAAATTGCGGTAGATGTAATCAAATTACGAGTATGCAGAGCGCAATATGGCACTTTCTCACAGCGCGTAATTCTACGGTAAAATTCACACTAAAAAGTAGGGTGTTGTATCGATCGATCAGAAAAGAGGGGATGAATGGAGCTTCAGAGACCTTTGCGCGGTCAGACGCATTTCGGTGCTCGTGGAGACATGATCTGCGTGAAGTCGCTGCAACTTGAATTCAATCGGGTTCTCTTGCTGGCGGTCGGTTTGTGGCCCTATGAGCGATCCAAATTCGTTCGAGTGCAATTGATCTTGCTCTACAGCATCTTGATAACCAGCATTATATTTCAGGTACATCAGACTTCTTAGATGTTTATTGCATAATTAATTAACTTTTGCATACTGTTACTCATAATGACCGTTCATTTACATGACGAATAGGTACGATTATATTAAAATAATTTCAATTGCAATATATGGTTATTTCACTTACGCACACCTTTCATTCATATATTACACGCAGAAGAGCAACTAGTGATTCCGGGGCTCTCCATTTGTCATTGATAGGGTTGGTAAATTATATTTAAGACTGTCTTAAGTTCATCTTCAAATGCTTTAAAAGTTACTAAGTGAAGTTAGAAGTTACTAACTTTGTAGCTTTCTAAATTAACACCTAACTGATTAGCTAATTGCAACCCTGGTCATTAAATACCGCAAGTTACGTTTGCGACGCGAAAAGCAGTGAGATCTCTCTTTTCCCCCCAGTTCACAGCGTTTATGACTGCGAAATACAATGCACACTTCGTCATCCAAGTTTTGTCCGCTGCATTCTTCTTCATTACCCTCCTGATCAAATACAACTCATTCAGTTTTAACATAGACAACGTGAGTACACGCAGATATGCGCTTTCACTCGTTCGTGGTGTAAAGCACCTTTCGTTACACGATTGACTTTGTTGAACCTCGCCAAGACAAACGGAATAGAAAATCATTGAAACGACAGATAAAGAATCTATTGGAGGTTCTCCAAAGCATGTACAACGAACTGAAAGACGACAGTGAAGTTATGATCATCAAAAAATACGGAACAATCGCGAAACGTTATACCTACATACTCACGTGTAAGACAATCACTTTTCATTTGCATATCGAGGGTATCAGTGCATCTAAGAGGATTATAATAATTTTCTTAAACTATCCTTCAGTACTCGGTATGATTGGATTATGTCTCTTTGTGTTCCTCCCATTTTGGCCACATATTTTCAATACCACGTTGCCTATGAATGAATCTCGACCGCTCGCCTCGCTACAGATCATTACGGAGTACTTTGTAAATCGAGAAAAATATTTCTACTTAATTCTACTACATATAAACACGGCATTTTGTATCGGCTGGGTCGCGTTGCTGGCGGTAGGAACGATGACTATCACATATTGGCTATATGCCTGCGGGATGTTTCAAATTGCCAGGTGAGGACACTATTAGTCGAAATTGGGAAGGTGAAAAAAATCAGTATTGAACAGTCTCGAACGGTTTCGACGATACATTGCGATTTCTACTTCAGGATTTCTTTGAGTGTTAACGTTTCTCACAACGAAGTTAAATTGTCGAATAATTATAGCAATGCTAGTTGTTTGCAGTTATCGTGTGGAGCAGGCTAAGACGAACAATTCTCTAAAAATAAGCAATGTAAGCAATGATAATTTGGTATATAGAAGGATTATTTGCGCTATACATATGCATCGCAAGGCTTTGAAGTTGGTATTCGTCACAGAAGGGAATCTCACATATGGATGTAATCCGTAAAATAGTGATAATATCTTATTATTTTTAAAGGTTTGTAAAGTGTTTCTTATCTACAATCGAAGTATCGTATTTCATCCTAATGACAGGCATAGTAATTACTTTGAGCCTCAATCTTTATAGGGTAAGTATTGCTTTTCACTATTAAAGCACATTGAATATTATGTTATTTCTATAGGATGACGATCTTGTTCATTGGAGTACGAATGATATCTAAAGTACTTCTATGAATCTGCTACGTAGACTGGATTTATTAGGGACATTAATTTGAGATTTAATGCTATGTTCGATGCAGAATATATGAAAGAATGCGGACTTTGCAAGACACGAAACAATTTACATTTCTACATTCACAGACGCATCAGATCTTTATTAGATTCTATGAAAATGAATTATAACGTCGTATACGTATATTTCAGATTACTGAAGAACTATTAACCGGTGTCAATTTGGAAAAATGTATGTCACCTTTCTTGTTTCTGATTGCCAACTACGTACTAATGTTTCTTGCCACCCATATTTCGCAACAAGTTAAAGATCACAGCAATCTCATATATATTACTGCGTAAGAAACATTTTAACGTTTCTCTATGTATATATGTGTTTGCGTGTCTATCGATATGATGAAAATTAAGTTTTAAGTTTCTCAAAATCGTCGATCGGACATATTTATTCTTTTATAGGTACAACTTCCCATGGTATGTAACTCCCTTATATGTGCAGAAGACTATATTATTCATAATCCAAAAGGCCACTAAACCTTTCAGTGTGAATTTCTTCGGATTAGTTATGGCATCTCTGGAGGGTTTCACAACGGTAAAAATCTAGCATGTAGCATTTAGTCACCTTGTATATTTTATATATTAAAAAAAACTTTTCACTTTTCACTATATAGTTGACGAGCACATCGATATCTTACTTTACCGTTATTTTTTCCATGGGATCATGATGTGCAATCATTGGTGCTGTACACTGTATGTAGTAATATTAGAACCAAATATATAATAAGATAAAATTGTGATTCGGATGCAATTAGCGCATAATTAAATGACAATCAACGCCGCAATAATCCAGAATGTTAATTTTGTATTGCTTATATATTTTTCCTGATGGGAGATACGTATCATGAAACATATAAGACTATTCTTAAGTGGAATAGTTCATTATTACTCTTCTTACGCCCTACAATTTTTTTTTATTTAATATTTTTTAATAGAGGGATTTTAATAATGCGTGAATTAAAAGTGTGGACTATTGTAATCAATCATGGACATCAAAACGTATGAGTGTCTAAAAGATACTGTGGTTCGGCTAACCAAAAAAGTGTTTGGTTAAAATTATTTTTAGCGAAAAATGATATTACATATATCACTGATCACTGATCTGAATAACAGACATTCAAAATTGCTTACGCACTTGTTACCGTACTAAGAAATTAACAACACAGAAAATCAGAATTTAATTCACAAAGGGATTTTTTATGCTGTGGAAATGCATCGTAAAGCTATGACGTAAGTATCTTTCGGATGATGTGTGAATACTTGATACGAGCGATTTAGCGAAACATGTGAGGTTTGCTTCAAGAATAACTTCTCGGAGCAACTTAATGTTTCCGTTACAAAATAGTCGCGACACCGATATTCGAATTTCCGAATTACACGACGTAAAAAAATATAAAGTTTTACACGGGTCAAGTTCGAAAAAAACGGAGAGTAAAACATTATCCTATCTTAATTTCGAGTTATATTTTGTTTTAACTACACCGCAACGAATGATTTGATTATTGAAATACTTAATGATTAAAATATAAAAAATTAATGAAGGGACTTAGGGTTTAGTTAATTTATTAAATGAAAATTTAACTAAAACTAAAATTTTAACTAAAAAAATACCCCTCTGTCATGTAGCGGATCTCATTTATTATTATACAATATACCCTGTTTTACAACAGTAATATTACAACAAAGTGTGTGTGTGTGTGTGTGTGCATCTGTGACTCCTCTGTTTAGATTCATCAAAATTTATATGTCCAAGATAGAAGTGCCTTTCTTCCTTATAATAGTGACCGGAGTAATTTCCCCGAGCCTTAATTTTTTCCGAGTAAGATTCGTTGACTATTTTTATTTGTACCACCGAACGAGTATGTAACACCCCATATAATATAGAACCTTGCAGCAATGTTGCTGCATGCATCTGTGCTGTATAGGACATGATATTATAGTATCATTAATATCGCACTGACACAGTTTCCTTAATAAGAATTCGAATTAGCTAAATCTGTTCGATACTACACGATACAAATTATTAACATTGCGATTCAAACGTATTTTGGAATTAACCTTGAAACATGGAACCTCAGCTTTTTCAGGATATATCGACCGGATTTGAATTCAGGAGAATGATATTGCCTATTATATTTTTATATGTCTTTCATATCTACATGATCATTGCTAACAATTGCACACAACAAATCATGGATCACAACGATCACGTATTTGCGACTGTGTAAGAAATATTTTTATAGCTAACAACATAAAGTATATAAATCAATCAATATGAAAGAAAAAGTGTTAAATTACTTTTTAAAACAAAGATGATCGTATCGAGTGTTTTCCTCGAGAGTTTTGAACTATTTTTATGTGCGTTCAATTCATAATTTCTTCATTAACTCGTAGGTATAGCGTCGAATGGAACGAGGTCTCTTTAGCTATGCAGAAAATAATACTGCTTATGTTGCAAAGAAGCAACAAACCTTTTCATGTGAGTCTGAGTGGGGTATTCACAGGATCTTTAGAAAGCACTGCCAAAGTAAAAAATATATACCGTGTAAATCAGTTTCTTTAGTGCAGCATAATTCAGATGAAAAAAACCGAAAAGTTCCATTACAGTTAATGAGCACTTCTATGTCTTACTTCACCGTTCTTTGTTCCACACGGCAAGAATTGTAACCTACGGTGGAAGAAATAATCAGAACGATCTTTCAAAGCAACCAAGACAACGAGGTTTAATTGGATCAATCACTTAGAGATGTTCAAGAATTATCACTTATGTGCAAATTAAAAATTTTCGTAAATAACAAATGCCTGTGCCTGTAAAAAATATAAAAACTGAGAATTCACGACATTATTTTTGATGAAAATTTCTTATGAAATTTGCTTTTACTTAAATATAATAGCGATTGCAGGAAATTATGAAGAAATTCCATTATACGATATGCAATATTCGTAAAAATGTAACTTTTTTCCACCTGTAAAAGATTAATATAAACAATAATCATATTCTTTATTTTTATTCAATTATAAATGATAATAAAAAATAATTTTATAAATCTACTATATGTAGACTCTAATTACTAAAAACGTTAATTCAATTTTTAATATTACGTTTTAGTATATTTAGGCTGGACGAACAAATATAGGCTGTGCAAAAAACGAAATGGAATACAACACTATATGCAAAAACGTATCTGAATTTTTATAATTTTTCTGACTATTTTTGTAAAACTATTTTTGTAATTCCCGTAAAATTGAGATTCGTACTTAATAGA